TATTTATTTATAGCTGTCATTGACTTTTAAAGGAAAAAATAAATTTTATTTAAGTATAAATTTAAAAGGCTGCCATGTTCAATTGACTTCAAAGTCATGCGGCGAACGATTACTGCCACAAAATCACTGAATTTCCTGTCAATTTTCTTTATGTTTTTTGTGTTTTGATTTATTCAATACGATTCCGTGCACTTGCCGTTTATTTTACTTCCCATGTAAGGTAAAAATATTTCAAGTTTTCTATTTTTATACAAACACACACTTCTATATATTTATTTATCTATGGATTTATATATTTGTTCAATGTATTTTGTGTCAGTACGCAAATAAATGTGCTAAAATTATAGTTGCCTACTTAAAGCCATTTAACAAAATTTTCTGCTGTCAGTAACGTTTTTGCAAGGATAATGAGAACTTGTTTCGGAGGAAGTGGAACATTTTATTTTCTTATTTAAAATAAAGAGTATAAAATAGTTTAAAATAATGTTTAAAATATTATCATTAGATTTTGATATGAATGTAGTCATACAAACACAAGCAGCAAATGTTAAGTTCAATTGGGTATGTTATTTTCAATATTTGATGCGAGATATGTATCTATCATTTATGTATCTATTTATATTTCAATATCAAAATTTAAAAAATACTAATATTAACAGTTGAGTTGTATTAACGAAATTTACACCATCACTGCTGCTTACTGCTTTACTGCTTTACTGTATCTTGTCATTGTTTGTGAGTACTTTTGCATTCTTTTTATTTGTAGTAATAACATTTCACCACAGTCGCTGTTAAATGTTTATGGCACTGTTAAATGGCTGTTAAATAACTGTTAATGCTTGGATACGAGCGCACATGTAAAAGTGTTTATTTGCTGCATTTCCGTCACGTTGTAATGTTGTTTTATTTACTGAAGCTACACTTTTGGTTAGTATATGTTGGACTTTAGAAATATTACAAATTAAATAGTGCTTATATTATAATTATTTGTATACTATTATATATTAAAACTAGTTGCAAAATATTTAATCATAAAGCATTATTTTTTAGATGCTTTTTTTATTGTCATAAAATTTTAAAATTTTGTCCTACGATTATTATTTAGCTAAAAACTGTTAAAAAAATAATGAACATACTAACTGTTAGAAAAGTTGGACTTGTTTTGTAAAACATCTAATAAAAAACTAGCAATGTATAAGATATAGAAGACAACTAACATATATGACATACACATCTGTACTTTAATCTGCCGATTTTTAATAATTTTTTGAACAAAAAGTTTCTGTATCGAGAATCAATTTTGCTCAAGCTAATAGTGGTCGTTATTGTTTCTGATAGATTCATTGTTTTCTCAGATAGTTTTATTTCAACGGTGTAAAATTTGTGTGGTTTATTGAGAAAATACTCGGCCAATTGATTTTTAGTGTTTCCTCAGTCAGCCAATTTTTTAACCATTAAGAGAGTTTTGTAGAGACCGAAACATATGGTGCAATATTCAGGTTATGAGCCGTTTGCATCAAAATTTTCCAACCAATTTCCGTCGATTTGTTTCTAGTTATCATATATAATCCTTAAGCACGAGTTCGTTTGATCGGATCAGTATTACCAAATATACCAGATATTTTTTTCAGCATTCAGTGACAAAAAATGGCAGACACTTTTCAATATCATCTAATAAATTAATGTATTTTTTTAAATTTAAACAATAATGTTTGTAGAATATATATACGACAAAAATTATTTTTGTTACGTAGAACTTATTAGTACCGATAGCACAGCTTAGAACTGATCTATATTGCAATATAGAAATTAGAATAAAGAGGATGACGTTTATTGCAATATAGACCATAGAAGAAAGAGGATGAAGTAGATATATTTATAGTAATATTAATTTATATTCAGCTAGTGGTCGTTTTTCTGATCTTAGTTATAAGATTTTATATTTTGTAATTAATTATAATAAATAAAATAAATAATTTATGTTAGATCGTGATCCTGACGATAACTCTCAAGGAGAGTTGAAATATAGAATGTAGTAAAAAAGTGACCTATAGCCGGATAAAAAAAAATATATATAAAAACCATTATAATTAAACAGGTCGATTAATAAATTTAATATTATTTCTTTCGATACTTAAAGATTTTTTGCACATTAGTTTAGTAATTTTTTATCACAATTGTTATCAAAACTTTAATAATTTAAGAATTTCAATATATACAATTATGTTTTAAACATTGTTTAAAATTTTATAGTTTACTTACCCTAATTTAATTTAGTTTAAAAATATTGCCAGAAAAATGTAATTTTATATTAAAATAAAAAATATAAAATATACACTCCATTTTCTTAGTATCTATAGCTCATTCATCAAGTCGTCATAGCCTTAATATCCTTACGGTCTTCTAGCAAGGATTCGCTGCATTTGTTTGCGTTTCACTTGCGCTTTCTCGTTTCGTTAGTAACTCCTAAAAATCGGCGTCTATAAACAAACATTTTTGCAATGCACATTAGTTATTTTAGTGTCGAATGTGTAAAGAATGTGTAATAATTAAAATTTGCGAAAAAAATTAAATTTAAATAAATTATTAATTATGAAATGAAAATATTTATATGCTTTTGTGTTCATTTAGTAATTAAATTCACAATTTTTTATGCTCGTATCTTTTGTTTGGCTGTGTTTGGAGTGTTTTTCATGTACGACAACTGTCTCATTAAATGGCAATAATTAATTGACTGACTGATTTTTAATTATTTTCTGATTAAAGGAAATTTACAAAAAATTAATACAAATTTTTATTAATTTATATAAATATTTACGAAATGTGTACTTGTATTTTGTATCTGGCAAAAGTGTATGACGTTACTGCAGCATAAATAAAATAATAAAAAAATATGATAAATAATATTATTAATAACAACAATATTACGTGTAAAAAGCGTGCATTTTTGTTTAATATTTCCGAACTACCTATATTTTTTAATAGTTTTACATTAATTTTAAAAATATTTTTTCACATAAATTTTTGTTTCTGGTAAGCTTTGATAAGCGCATTAATTACCGCTATTGTTTTTTTTGTGGATCATAAATAACGTTTTTATTATCTGTAAGTGCATTAATTTATATATTTGCATTGAAATGACTAAAATGCATTTAATATTTTTGTTTTGTTGTTCTTTGTGTATTCGAATCGATTTTGTAGTTGGCATTTTAATTAATTAATTAATTAAAAAATAATAATATTACAAATAAACATATTTTATATAATTAGATATCGAATTTCTAAACGTAAATGAATGTAAATTTGATAATATGATAATAATTGCAATTAATACCAAAAAGCATTGAATGATTTGTGAATATAATATAAATCAACTTCACATATATATTTTTTTGTAATTACAATTTATTAACGTACGATATTTTTGCATAGATAAATGTATATTTAAGCAAATTAAATGTTCTTGGGAATTCAATAAAGTTGGGAATTATGAATTATTTACATTTATATTCCGCCTACTTAATTAATATCACTGTTGAGATTTCTCTAAGATATCTAGAAATAGTAAATTTAATTAATGTAGGTACTTATGTATACTTTGTTCTTAGAAATAATAAAATATAAATAAATAATCTTTGATAGAATGAGTTAAGTAGATGATTCTCTTTGAAGTGAATACTACTTAGTATTTCAATTTGAAGTATATATTAAAGTGGCGTTGTTGCGAAATATTTTATGAATATATATATATTTCTATTAAAGATGTATATAGTAATATTAAAGGTTTTTTGTGACTAGATGGTATTGGTATCCATATACAATAAGTGGTCATATAACAATAATTTGAAAAGTAGTACATTATTGATATTTGATTACCATACAAAAAAGAAGAAAATCCTGCAATAAAATGTCGAAAAATTTGACAGTTTACGTTGAGGATACAGGAAGTAAACGCCAGACCCAGAAATGGTTTTCTCGATTCCATTCCGAAAATTTTGATATTAAAAATTTGTCTCGCTCTAATCGGGCCTTTACTATAAAGCTGATTGGGGGTACAAGACAAATACGCACGTTGCCACGAGATAGCGGAGATACTAAACATCAACCCGAGATTAGTTTGGAATCATTCAAAAAGAACAGGCTATGCAAAACCGAACCATGTTTAGACACCACAAAGATTAACGAAAACGAATTTGATTGACCGAATCAGCATTACTAAAACGGTGCTGAAAACAATATTGAACTTTAATTGAAGTGATCGTGACCAAAGGCTGATAATCATCTACAAATGATATAAAAGTCTGGATTGACGATATGCAAGGTTATGTCTACTCCTCACAACTCGACCGCTCAAAGTGAATAACCAATTACAAATAAGTTGTACTCCGTCATGACAATGCCATTTTTAATGATTTTGAACTTTTAATAATTTTGGGACTTTATTTTGTTGTATCCATCATATAATCCAGATCTCACACCTTTTGATTACGAGTTGTTTTAGTTTCAACAAAAGTTATGTTTAAAAACTGGTCAACCGTAGAGCCACTAAAATCGTTTACTTAATTTTTTGCCAATAAATCACATAAGTTCTACTTCAATAGATCAGTAAAACAACCCAAAAAATGGTACTTGATTATAAAAAACAATAGTCATTATACTATATTTGATTAAAAGGATTTTTATTCAAGAAAATTTTGTTCAGATTTGTAATAGAATGTAATTCATTCTATTACAAATCCTTTTAGATACAATTTGTTTTAGAATAAGTCTGTATTATTAAGTTGTTTTACTTAAGATTATGGCCACCAGGCTAATTTAGTCTTAACGATATATTAGTAAGGCTCGCGCAGTTCGTAAAGCAATAAGAATTATTAATATAACCATAGAATATTAAATTTTTTACGAGGTTTGAACCTCTCAAACCTCGCACTCATATTGATTATGAAAGAATATCACATTTTTATAGACATTCGTTTCGAAAAAAAAGTAAGCCTAACGCGATGGTGCTTTATGAACGCACTAAAAATTGTTTATTGGAAGTAAAGTTGGAAGTAAGTTAGTACTTGTCTTAATTTTCTTCACATTTTGTGTAGCATGATTAAATTATGGTTTACCGACATGTGCTCTGATGAGAATAAATCTCACTAAGGTTGCCCAAAATCTACGACTGATTTAGTTAGCGTTGTTCCGGTGAAGTCAAAAGTTGATAAAGTTCCATTATTAGCGTAGGAAATGTTTACTGATGAATTTAGTCATGATATCGTAATATCTTTAACGTTAAGTTATTATCTTTCATATATGAAGAAGTTAACATAGTGGGTTATGAATTGGAATATGATTTCGTAAATTTATAAATGAAATTATTTGTTTTGGTTAGAAATATTACTTAATATGTGTGTGGAACAATTAAACCCACATGATTACAGGATATGTCTGGATACATAGTGTACATTGTGTTGCTGTGCTTTTTTTTTAGATGACTATTTAAAACACAAATTTTATGTTAAATTTGATTTTATCGTCAGTTACGATGGTACTGACTATTTTACTTAATATTAAAGAGAGAATTATTAAACAATATTGAATTGCAAAAACAAAATTTTTACTTATTTTTATTTAACTGAATTTGTGGCTGACTATACAGCTGTTTGGAGTATTTGATTGTAGAGTCAGTCGAAAACTAAGTTTATTAAAAATAAATTAAAATTTTGTTGTTGTAACTCACTACTGTACGAAGCCGTACTCACAATTTTTATTAAATATTAAATATTAAATATTAAATTATAAATATGATAACATATATTGTCTAAATTTTGAAATATATTTTGTATCTAGCAGTTGTTACAGTAACATTTAAATTAAAAGTTAAGATACAGTTTAATTCACATATCTGTGTAAATTAGGTGAATCGAAAGCAGTTGCAAGTATTTCACAAATACTTTCATTTTTATAAATTTTATCTTTCTATTCCAAAAAATGTTTTTAAATAAATGTCATTTAAATAGGTTGAAAAATGAGTAGAAAAAATGCGAACCGTCCATTTAAATTTTCAGTATTTGCCGTAAAATAATACCAGATACCATACCATATACTTTTTATAAATTCCATTTAAGTTTATCTGTGAAATGAACTCATTGACTATGAGAATTTATCTATTGCGATAAGTAAACAAATTTATATACCAAATTTTTCCACTCTAACATTAGTTTTTGCCAAAAATGAAGTAATCAGACAAAAATATTTAAAAATCGATTATATCACGCATAATGAACTAATCTGGATGAAATTAATTACTTTATTAAAATAAAAGCTTGTGAAAATATTGGGAATTTGCATTTGTTGTTAATCAATTGCAAATAATAGACTATAAAGGATATTAAAATATTTTTCTATTAATTTAATTGAACAATTTTACAATTTTCAATTTAGAATTATTCAAACATTCAAGGTTTAATTATGGAATGTAATAATGTAATAATGTTACAAGTAATTTAATGTAATATAATAATTTTGGCAATGTAAATAGTTTTCATAATCATTGGAAAAGGGAAATTCAGTTCAATAAGTTTGGAAAGTTATTAGTTCAGTACAACAAAATTAGATTTATAAAATAAATTAGCTTTAATAATAATCACAGCACATTGAAATAATTAGTTTCGGTAAATTTTGGAAAAAATTTAATATTAAATTTAACACGTCTTTTATTCTAAATTTTAGAATTAATTTGAATAAGTAATAATTAAATATAATATAAATGTAATAGTTGTCCTTGTAGTAATGATTTAATGTACTATAAATCAAAAAAAATATATTTCTCAATTAGCTTAGCTAAGATCCGTCTCTGTATTCTATAAAAAGTTGTGCTCTTCTTTCACTTTTTTATAATACAACATATATAACTATAGTTGCTATGTATATTAAACCAATTTGACCTTTAAACTTAAATATATAAAAATGAATCATACATTTTTGTCTTTGTGCGGAAACTATAGGTATTGGAGCTCCATACTTTATGAAGCCTTGTAAAAGCGCCCAGGGCTTTCTTTATTCAACTTATCTCATCTTGCGCTGTACCTCCATTTTCAGACACAATACTTCCCAGATATTAGAATTCATTTACGCGTTCAATGGTCTCCGTTTCCAACTTTAAAGGTTCGTCAATTCAATTGTATATTTTGACTCTAAAGAGAGGTCATTAAGTTTCTGCTGATGTGATAACTCGCATTTGTCGTCAGCACAGTTCAAACATTTTAGCCTTGTGTTCGGTGTCAGTAGACTCTATGCAATACGCCGTACCTTTCCTTTATTTGCTCCTTTGGTCACTGCGCCAAACACAACCACATTGCGGAAAGGACGCATCCTTGACGTATGCCAGAAATTGTTCATAGAACTGAGCACTTAAATTGATCGTAGTGTTTTGCAATTATGGAGAATATTTTAACCAGGACACCATTATTATTCAATTCTGCTTATACGTAATTTTGATTTAACGAGTCAAAGGCCTTTTCAAATTTAACTGATAATAAAATTAAATTATACAGACAAATTAAATCTGAGAATATAATATAGATATTCATTTACTATTTCTAGAATCCTTTCTAAAGATTCGAATTACGGGTATAAAACACAAATATAAGATTTTTACTCCTAAAACTTGACATGAAAGTTCTTATATATTTAGACTTATTAAGTTAGTTCCACAATATTTTTGTCAAATATTTGTTTTTTTTATAATATATTAAATATACCAAAAACGAATTTTATAGTATATGCTACAAATAAATATGCAAATCCATCATAAACGATATTTTACTAATTACAATCCATTTTATTTTCAGCCGGATCGCTTGCTCAAACGCGACTCGCACAATAAAAACGCCTTACATTATTGCGCTGCACAGAACATTCATACACGTGACCTCGTGGCTGCTGCCAGTATTGCCATCGCAGCTCCAGAACTACTGGAGTCTGCAGATGAAGATGGCTTCACCCCGCTTCACTTGGCGGTTATTCAGGGCAATTTGGCAATGGTCAATTTGCTGCTAGCGAATAAAGCTGATGTGAATGCGGTGGATAATGAGGGCCATTCAGTGGTGCACTGGGCCACAGGTTTGTATAGTGACGTCACTGAAAATAAAGTATTCACACATCAACTAAATTATTCATAAAATATTTACAGTGTGTGGAGAAGTGGAAGCGCTGCGCGCTGTGCTAGCTGCTGGTGCTAATGTGACAACACCAGACATAAATGGCGGTTCTCCATTGCACTATGCCGCACAAATGTGTGGTGCTAGTTATGAGAATAAAATAGGACATCCAAATGCTTCAAAATTAGCTTTAGAAATACTTGGCATCCTCTTGGCGCATCCGCAATCAAGTGTTGATGTGCAAGATAAAGATGGGCGTCAACCGTTACTTTGGGCTGCATCAGCGGGTTCTGCAAAAGCTGTTATCGCTTTGGTAAAGGCTGGTGCTAGAGTGGAAAGCGCAGATAAGTCGGTCAAATATATTTAAACTCACTGCCTACAATTCGCAATATGTTTTTTAATTATTAACTCTTTTTTCCGTAGAGATGGTTTGACAGCATTACATTGTGCAGCTTCACGTGGTCACACAGAATGCATTGACACCCTCATAAGCTTATGTGGTGCACCCACGGATCTTATCGACTTAAATGGTTGTACTGCTTTGCATTATGCAGTAACACTTGGTCATGCCGATGCTACATCCAGATTACTGGATTTGGAAGCAGACCCCAATAGACAAGATCGTAAAGGTCGCACACCATCTCATTGCGGTTGCTCAAAAGGCCAATTTGAAACTGTCAAACTACTTAAAGAACGCGGTGCCAATTTATGGTTACGTAATGCCAAAGGTGATTTACCCATACATGAGGCAGCAATGTCAGGACGGCGTGAACTTGTTGAATGGCTTTTGGAACAACGCAAAAAACAAGTGAACACAACAAGCAATGATGGACGCACATTACTACATACAGCTGCCACGAATGACTACACGGATATGTGTAAACTTCTATTGGATTACGGTGCCGATATCAATGCTATTTATCGCAACTCAAAAGGTGTAGTTATAACACCATTAGATTGTTCACTACAGAAAGGACATCGTTCTACAGCAAAGTTTTTGCAATCCCATGGTGGCTTACCAGCAGCTAAGCTCCGCTTGGCAGCAAGACGGGGTAATCCTTTTCAGGAAACCAGCGTTGAAGCTGTACGCCCTCTTAAATATGTGGAAAAGGAGGAAATACAAGATTTGCGTAACTCCAAGAAATACGTTGTGTACCTGAAACGTTCTGATTCCGATGGTGCCGCTGAAGGTGAAGGTGAGGGTGAGGGCAATTGTAGTTGTAATGAACAAACTTACCGTAGGGAACAGCGCATTGAGCATATCTGTCGCCGTCATAAACGAATGCATAGACATCATCAGCGTCGCAGAACAAGCAGTTGTGGTGAACCAAAGGAAAGTTGTCATAGAGCATGTTGTAGTGATGATATTAGTCGTTCCAAAAGTAATATTGAATTAAGACGTCGTAAGTCACGTGAAAGATATGCTAGCTCAAGTGAATGGGAAGATGATGATGATGATGAGGATTCTTGCGAAAATTGTTGCTATCATAAGCATCAAAAACAAAAAGTGATACGTAAAAGGACTACTTCTGTCCGACGTTCGAAGGATTTAAAGTATAGTGACGATGAAGATGATGAACCAAGCAAAACTGTAAAAAAGGCTTCCATAGAATCAGAAAAATCAAAAGGTAATGGCGAGTCAACTAAAGAACACATGGTGTCAATAGAACAAGAGAAAAAGGTTATAGATATTTCAAGACCCGACTCAAAAACTTCAGTACGTAGGAGACCACAATCAGCAACAAAACGTCAAGTAACGCCAACAGCAGCGGGTAAAGAGGCAACTTTTATTAAATCACCACCACAAAGTGCAAAGATAATAACTGAGACCGAAGGCCGAAAGGATATTATTGGCGTTGAAGTATCTGATCAGGAAACAGAAACTGTTGGTGCTGCTGAATTAGTAACCACAAAAGTTGACGTACATCGTGGCGCCGATGAAGTTTCGCTGAAACTGTCAGAATCCGAAGAAAAAAAAGACGAAACTGGCTCCGTTGAAAAGACTAGTAAGGATATTTTGAAAGAAGTAGCTGAACAAGTCAAAAAAGAAGTGGATGTGGTACTTAAAATGGCAACAGAAGTCGTAGAGAATGGAATGAAAGGCACACAGGAATTGCAAGATAATGGCAGAGATGAAAAAGAAGAAACAAAGAAACTAGTTGAAGAAGTATTACAATCCAAGGAACCTACATTAGATGAGGTGTCAAGTGAAGCGGTAACAAGCAGCAAATCTATCACTGCACCAGAGTTAATTGAGACACCTGCCACACCTACACCAATACCTACACCAATACCAACTCCAGAGCCAAGTCAAGTAGTTGCAGCTGCAGATAAAACTGATGATGCAAAAAGAGCTATTACGGCTGATGCTAAACAAACTACGGCTGACGCAGAAACAAAAACAGTAGAACTAACCACAGCTGAAAAAGTAGAAGCATTAGCGAAAGATATTACTCCAGCAACTATCACTTCCAAAACTGAGTCTCCTATACCAGCACAACAACCTTCCACAGCTATTGCCTCAACAACAACTGATATAAAATCCACAGATGATAATGCAACGCAACAACGTGACCAACCAACTCGTCGTTCCTTTACACTACTTCCATCAGATTCAGCTGAAGATGAAGATGTGGAAGAACCAGTGCGTAAATCCAGTTTCCAAGTACTTAAAAGCGATGAATCCGCGACTGAAGTGTTGGATGCGGTACCGAGTGAAGAAGTTGAGTACAGCGACACACAAGTCTTCAAAATTGTGTCTGACTTGCCTGACATAAAAGCGCACTCAGATGGTGAACTTAGTTCGCCTGAAGTAGGTGACCGCGATAATGTTGAATATGAAGATGAGGATGATGACGAAGACAACGAAGATCTTGATGCAGCCAATGAGAAGGTAGGTGTTGCACGAAAACGACATAGCACGCCGACAGCAACTGGTACTACTTTAGCCACTGGTGCCGTAACTGTTTTGTATGATTACAACAATGGCCGAAAGAGACGTCTCAAAAAACGCATCAAAAGTGGCACGAAAACACGCAGTAACTGGCGTACCACACCAGACACTAGAGCTAGTGCTGCCACAAATGGTACGAAGGACCAAGATTCGGGTTTTGAACCCAGTCCACGCACTATGAAGAGCAAAATACCTACACCGCGTAATATATACACTGCACATTTGCCGCGACGTCACATTTATGCAACACTGGACGGGCGCTCTTGCAGCAGTCGTATAGAGCATAGGAGGCCTGGTGACAGAGGTGCTTGCGATATGTCAGCAGTGACACGCTCCATACAAAGAAATATAAGACGGTAAGTTTATAGAGCTTTTTTATTACTTATTTGACTTTCGTTTTTATTTGTGTGGCTTCGGGGATAGAAAAAAACACAATAAAACTAAGAATTTTGAACCTCTAGCAAAAGCGCACTTAAATATAAAATAATTGAAATTTCTCGGTTTTATTTTCAGTCATGATACGAGGTGAGAGGGGGCACATTATTTTTTCTTATTTATGTCATGACGTTAATTCTCACCAAAAGTTAACTGCTGCTCGTCCTTAGGGCACAAAGCACTGCTACTCGCTATCAGTAGCGCATTTGCCTACACTCCGAGTAATGTTGATTAAAAATTATGCGCTACAATGCTGCGATGGTATAAGCGGTCGGGGGGGTGTATAAAAGTGAAATTCATTAAAATTAATCTTACAGGTGGTCGCGTCCCCTGTATTTTGCTATTGTTACTATTGCGAATACCACTCATCCTCGAAACTGTCTACGTAGCCTACAGCGTTTTTAGCTAGGGTCAAAGGTTAGATGGCTAAGCATTTTTTATATATCCGGCAAAAAATGTTATGCCGTCTTCGAAGATTTATGCACTTGACTTTTGATGTTGAAGTCGCCTCTAAAGAAGTTGCTGAAAAATTTGGTATAGGCAAGCATAGCTGGTTTACGGAAATGTCATTATATAGCGCATACTTGGCTTCTTTCCTGTCTCAGTGTATGAATTTTATTATTTTAGCTCTTCTTATGACGACATAAAAGTTAATTTAGTTGAATCTTTATGCTTCAATGTAATTTTTCATTTTTATTGGCCTTTATTTAGCTGCTGGTGTTGATTTACAACGTTCCTGAGGTTACTTTAAAAATATTTTTATTGTGTTGTGAAAGCGAATGCTAATAACATTTTTTCTTGTGAATAACTTGCTCCTCCCTGCAATAATTTTGCACTTGAGTCTAATGAAGAAACCATTCAATTTCGACAAATTGAAAGTAAAAGTTTAATATGGCAACACTTCTTTGAAAATCAAGTTTCCTATCGACCAAATAATGCAATCAAAATTGTAATCCGCGGACTGTAAGTTGTTGGTATTTAGCTTTAATATAGCTTTTGAGTAATTATATAAGTATTTTATATCGCTGGTATAGGAAGAGTGGATTTAAAGGGACTTAAGCTATCAATCTTCTAAATTAGCTAGGATAGGCACCATATTATCGCGATATTGGAATACCTATCGTAGCATGGTAAAATTTTTAGAAACCTGACGTTCAAGAATTTTATTGAATTCGGGAGGATGCAGATATTAGTGTAGTATGTAAGGCTAATGTTGCTGACATATGATAAGGAAAAACTAAGGTCTAAAAAAACTCAGCCTAAATAGAGAGGATAACTGTGGGATTGTATTTTTTATAAATGGTCACATGTGGTATCTGGTTGAAGAGGAAGAGAAAGAAGAAACCGTGCAATAATTCTTTTATAGTTATCCGGTTTTCTTTTGCCCGCAGCTTTTTCACATAGGTGTCTAATGGTAAAATTAAAAGTATGCTGCGCTTCATAAGAACTTTATCATACCTCTAAAAAACTTTACAATCATCAGTATAACTTTAGTTTTTTTTTACAATTGAGAGATTACAAATATCTATTTATAAAATGTCCCATTAACTTTGGATTGGAGCACAATTAACCAGTTATATTTAAATGACCGCTGGGGGTGCTTGATTATCGTCGTCAAGTCCTCAGAACCGTCACCGAATTTGTCAAACTAACGAAAACGCTATCTCGTAAACATATTGTAGTCATCTTTCGTTCGTTCTAGTGAACCATATTTAACCATTTGAAATTAAAATTTGTCATTACATCATTTTGTGACAAGTAGTAGAAGTAGTATAATTTTTGTACAATATATGAAGTGTCAAGTCTCAGCGATAAATTTAGTTTACTGAAAATTTGCTAGTAATTAAGTAAATTTATCGATTTATCTACTATCATTCAATCATAAATGCCGTTAGGATAAAAATTTTTATGGAACTATTCTGATCGAATCTGTTTCCTTTGTGGTTATAAAATATTTTTAGTCAAGAAGTATGTTGACAGAACTTTGAAGTTTCTTAATTGGAAATGCAGATTTTTGGCTTTTCCCTCGAAAAAAAAACTTATTATTTAATAATATCTGTGCCTTTATCTTGTCGATTTGAGTATAAGTTGGATATAGCTGGAGTAATACTTTAATATCTATTCCAAAACTTTTTTATTAAGTTTTCTATTGTAATGAATTTTCTATTACAAGTACTTCAATGCTAGTAGAGTATTTTGTTATTTTTTAATTTATGTATTTAATGGTACAATTAGATTATATATTCATTTTAGGTATGAACTTAGGGCAATGACTGGTGTAGTTATCTACCGGAATGATATTCTATATTGTAATATTACCATCTTAAATCACCTTTCGAAGTGCTCATTTCAATCACAAGCAAATAATGATAAAATCTGAAACTACTTTGAGATACTTCCGACACAATAATCGTTTATTGCAATTAAATATTTAAAAATCTGAATTCATTTCTAGGAAATAAAATAGAAGCTCAACAATCGTATAAATTATTTATGATGAAATCTCTGAGAAATTGTTACTATTCTGTTCAACATTTTACATAATTGGATTTGGCAACCATTTAAATTCATTTAAATTATTTTCACATAATACATTTTGGAATCCTGGCTCTTAACATTGTCAATTACGTGAGCATAATTTTCACTTTCCTCGCCAAAGATGTTCGTGCCACTGTTGCATAATTTATGCGCAAGATGGAAAAAAATCTAATCCCTAGTGCTTGTTACCGGGCATTGTTGTGTGATGGGGAGTCCTTCATGTACTTTCCTCATATTCTTAGGAAATTTTTTGTAATTTTTTGTAATTTTTTCAATTTTTGTCGCTATTTTTTGCGCAATTTTTCACTTTCGTCCTGGCTGAATTTGAAGGCGCAGAGCAGGCGCCTAGGTGGATATGTGTCAGAATTTTTTAATTTTTTATTTTACTTGGGAAATTATGCTGCTTTGCACTTTCCGTAGGTTATACTTTTTTTGCAGTACTTCGTTAGCTTTGATAAAATTAATTGACTTGTCCTGTGATCAGGATAAAATTGCTGGTTTTACAAATTTCACTTGACACATAATCACTGTGAGTTTCTTAAGTAAACAACGGTTAGCGACACATTGGCTTTAGAAACGGAGGAAACTGAACTTGGGGAATAAATGTTTTATGTTAATATATGCCAAAATGTATCCTGATTTTTTTTTGGTTTGTTTATTTTATTTGCAACAATTTTGCTTGCGTTTTAGGTCCAAAATTATGGGCCGCTGGACTCCAACGCAAAATTTTCAGTTGAGTTTCTGGTGGCAATACTTTTTTAAATTCTTATTTTGCTCACTTTTTAAGAAAGTTTTGCTTTGTCTCACTTTAAACTGAGATAAGCTAGGAAATATTTTCAAACTTTAGACAAAGTTTAGGCAAAATTTCACAATTTTTCTTTAGAAACACGAAACAACATTGCTTTGGGGAATTTTTCAACACAACACGAAAAAAAAGATACTTTTAAAATGTTTTCATTACTCAACTTTCAAAAATATTAATCAAACTGTGGTTTCAGATATAATAAAATATTCATGACAAAATTCTGTCTTTTGGTTCCTCAAATAAAAATATCTACGGACAAGCAGAGAAGCTATTTTTTATTATTTCTTCTAATTGCGATTAAATATTAATTAAATATTTTGCTTTAGTTTGTTCTCGAACTTTTACTTTAATTATTTATATTTTTTATTTATTCGCAAATCTAAAAGTTTAAATGTTTCAATTATTCAATAAAAGTTAAATTAGTTAAAAGTTAAAGCTGCCAGCTTAATTATGCAAATAAATTTCATTAATATTTATCAGAGTTTTTGGTAAGAACTTCAACTTTTGCCAAGGGAGAGAATTTTTTAATTGAGTTTCGAAATATGGTTTAAAAGAATTTACTTTTGAGTAAAGTAATTATCTAATAAAAATAATTAAATTATAAAAATGCAAATCAACTTAGAGAAATATTTATTTACAAGAAGCAGTCATGAGAGAAAGTACAGATCATGTAAAGGCCGAATTTATGATTGCAAAAGCTACTAAAAATAAATGAACATAAATATATTTTAAGGATAGGGATATGTACAGCAATAGGACATAAAGCCTAACTAGAATTGGAATGTAATAAATATTATTTAATAGAAACACTTACAAGTAAATACTATTAAGTCTGTGTAACATTATAGATTAAAATAAATTTTTGCAAGTATTTTTAAACAAGCGAAGGCATAATGGCTATTAGTATATAAGGACAGCTTAGATTGAACACTTCTGAAAAGATTTTTATCAATCGATCACGAATTATATTGGTTTTTGTAGCTTGAAAGCTGTATCCGTTGCGAAAAATCATTTTATTAGCTTCACTTTCTAAACAAGTTTGTCATTTAAATTAATCCGAAACAAGTATAAAATAATTTTACACACTTTATATAAATTAATATTTCGTGACGTCAGTGTTTGAGAATAGCTGTACCAGCGTGATTATAGTCTATACTATTTTTATTAATGGACACAACGCATTGTGATCCGAATGCATAACATATATTGTGCATAATCTTGATTTCTAATCCAATTTTGCACAGTTTAGTCGTTTGTCGTTCCATAATTTTTATCTAGACATAACAATACCATCCAAGTACTGAAACCGTACTTTGCCAATAGCTGGACACTCAAACAGAATGAGCTCGAAGGTATTAATTTCAATTGACAATCGACAGAGTTGACTAGATAGGATCCTAAAGTGAACTCAGTTTGGAAAAAAATTGATATTTGCTACTCTGGGATCAATAATCGTCTTGCTCGACGTTACTCAGTTATCTGGAAATTGTTTCTGCTATTATTTGCTGATAACCTGTTTTAAGTGACTTGTTGTGAGTCCACAGAACAACACAGGATTTATCAATATTACAAATTTAT